TTGCTACCATGATAAAGATTCATCGTTCTTAGAATGATTTTTTTAGGGTATAAACTTCCATTCAGGTTTTATTTTGTGTCTTTTGCTCCCCTGTCAATGGTAAACTTAAATATTGCAATGCAAACACCTTTTGTAATACCCGTATTTTTGAAACATATTTTCTAATTAAGTAATTAATTATTATTTTCTAAAAAGGGTATTTTAGTAATTTATTTTACTATTTGAATTTCGGAGCCAAAATGATATTTGAATTTTGGCGCCAAAAGTATTTTAAAACTTAATTATTATTTTTGGATTTTGGATAAGATTTATTATCCATTTATTTTATTTTAAAAACCGGATTATCTATATATATTTCGGATATTTTAATTAAGCAAAAAAATTATATTTTATTATTTAATTAGGAGGTCCGAAAATTCCTAATGATTGGCTATTAATTTTGGATTTTCCTAGTGTGGGAAATCTGATTTTCTTAGCTAATTTATTTAGTGAATAATTGGTATTCTCTTAATTAATTATTTTATACAATATATATTATTTATACAATCATTTTTAATCCTTAAAATCTAGCAAAAATAATTTCCTAAATTCTACTAAAGAGGTCTGAAAATTTGAGCTATGGAAGCTCAAAATTTTCGTCCATCTTGGTTGATTTTTGGGTAGGGTAAGTCTTGGATGTGGCTAGCCACACGGTGTGGCCACATTAATTTATAAGAGCAATCTTCATTTATATGTATGAGTAACCTCATTTTTTCATAAGCGTAACCTCATATTTTCCATAAAAGTACCCCTAAATTCATTATACAAGTAAAATCAAGTAATGTAGAAATAAGTAACCTCATTTGTTCATTCAAGTAACCCCTATTCTTTTGTTTTAAAAAATAAAAGAATAATTCTATGTATTTAAGAAAGTAACTCTTTTTTCTCATTTAAGTAACCTCATATACGTTAAGGTAACCTCATTTGCTCATCCCCGTGACCCCTATTACTTAATTAATTTCCTTATATGTGATTATGTGAAGTGGCCACACCATGTGGCTAGCCACATATAAGAATTTATGTTTTGGGTAATTTATATTGGTGATTTGTTGTAATATCCCGTATTTTTATACGTATTTTAATTTAAATAAGTATTTTTAAAGTATTTAAATAATTCGAAATGAATTATTTATGATTTTTATTAATGTAAAAAGAATTATTTTAATTAAAAATTTATTTTTAATTATTTAATAATCTTGAAAATATTTTATGATTTGGAAATATTGGGGCATATTATTTTATAAAAAGATAATTTTTAAAGTCAATGGTATTTAAGAAAAGTCAAAATACATTTTGACTAGGAAAGGGATCATTAAGGGTAGTAAAGGAATTTTAAGTAGGAGGGATATTGAGAGGGAGTATAAATACCCATCATATGCCCAAGGTGGAGTGCACCCAAAGGTAAACTCTCTCTCTTCTCTTTTTTCTTTTCCCCTTAATTTTTCCCCTTCCCCTTTTTTTTTAATGTTTTTCAATCACCACACACACACCACCACACACTGGCCGGCCACGGTCACCACCACACGCCACCACCGGCTGGCGACCACCACCATTGGCGCACGCCAGTAGCGACGGCCACCAGGCGGGCGCGGCAGCCGCCCAGCCATGGTGGTTCGTGCGCCATGTTCAAAAAAAAAATTATTTTTCTTTTTGATTTTAATTCAATCTAGCCTAAATCTAATTATTGTTTTTGGGTTTTGTGATGATTTAGGATGTTTGATGATAAGTATTTTGTATATAAATTTTCATATTTGGTTTTGAATTAAAAAGCCCCAAATTTAAAACCCTAGGTTTCTAAATTTATGTTTATTGATGGAATTTGATTGTGATTGATTAAAACTATGGAAATAAGTGTTTTTAAGCTAAATTACAGTAAGTTTATAAGTTTTAATAATGCTGGAATTTTTATATATAACCTATAATTATGTTTCTTGAAAGGATTTTTAATTACCCATTAATTGGGAATAAAAGTAAGAGTTTTAAATAAAATTTCAACTTGTTTAAGAGAGTTTATGAGTGATTTAAAGAGTGTATATATTGTTGGAAATTTGTGTGGAAGAGGTATTAATACTTCATTGTAATTTTGGTTTGTAGGAGACTTTCAAGTGAGTGATTTTATTTAGTCGTGGCGATTTTGAGATCATATTCAAGTTACGTTAGCTGTTCACGTACTTAGTAATTATTTGAATATGTAGAAGCATGCTAAGCTTTGTTTAAATTAGTTTCGAGTAGTATCATGGTAGGTGATGATTGGAATTTGTTGATTGGATTGATGTTGGTGAATGATTTGTGTTGTGTGAATTATTTATGGTGAATTGGTGATTGGAATGAGTTATGTTGGCATGTTGATTATGAACCACACTTTTATTATTGGCATGTTAGAGAGCATGTGTAATTAAACTAAATGTTTAATTTGGTTTGGAATATGAAAAGGGAATTTTATTATGGTTCTTATAATTTTTACTGATGCTATAAGCATAAGGAAGGAGTTATTTAAGTGTCTTAGTACACATGAATAAATTATATTGCGGTGCTTAAGTGCACCTAAGGTGTTTCTAACACTGAGGGATAGGATTTGCGTTTAAGGTGTCTTTGACACTGAGGTAGATTAAAAAGGGTTCAACTATTAAATTTATGTGGTCACTAATTGTTCAAGAATTAAATTAGTATGTTTGATTGCTTGAATGAATTATAATGTTTGATTGTGTTATGAATTGAGAGTCATCACCAAATATAATAATATGTAAACAACATAAAGTAAAAGAGATTACACACCAAAACTCTTGGAACGTATATACCTTGAGTATGAACATATGGGGAGAGTTATGGGGTTTTATATTTAACCATGACTTCTATGGGAGTACAGGACGCTGTATTTTCCTTTTTACTTATCTTATGCGCAGGACGTCCAGTCACTTCATGTGACATTTGCCTACACGGTTAGCTCCCGGTGTAGTTTACCTCAATTTATTTGAGGCAGGGTTTAGGTTGGAAACCCGTTCGATGTGTAATCAAAATTAAATGAAAATTGGTATTTGTCTAGTTAAGTGTTGAGTGTTTTGTATGCTTGTAAACAGGTACAACAGGGTAAGTTGTGTGATGATAGGATGAAAGCATGTTAGTGCTTTTTTTATTACGCTTATGTACTCAGCATTGTTGATTGTGTGTTTGTATGTTGTTTGGCCTTGTCTTTACCTTGGCCCTACGACGACCCATTTCTAATAGCGAGTAATGGGGACAAGTAGAGAGAAGCTTTACAAGTGGTGAAGCATATTCATAATGGGCTTGAGTGAAGAGCGAATCATGCTTTGTTCTTCATAGGAATATGATGTGTTTTATTTGCTTTGAATATTATTTATTTTATTCTGTCCATGAGACTAACGCAAAAGATTTTTTTTTTTATATTGTTTGGTTTCAAGGGCCTACAATGGTTCTAAATTGTAGGTTGGCTTTGTTTGACTTAGTTTTACTTTTACTTTCTTTTGGTTTGACTTTTTCTAAGTTGACTTGTTTTTAAATGGTTTTAAAGATAGTCTTCCGCTGTGTGTGTCTTTGATATTTGCCTTAGTCGTTTTCATGGTGGCGGTATGTTTTAGATTTTCCTATTTCGTATTTTTAAAAGGGCAAAATAGGTATTTTATAGGAAAGGAATTTCTAGGGTGTTACATTTGTATTTTTAATTATCTTCCTTAAATCTATTATTTTTTCTTAATTATTATTTCCCATCTCCTAAATATTTTATCATCTTATTTCTCTACCTTATATCATCCTTGATTATTCCCCAAGCAAAGCCATTTGCCATATTATTTTTCATGGCAACATACTTTCCATAAATTAATTATTCCTTAGTCACCTTAATATTAAACTTTTCATAATTTTTAACTCTCTTCTCCAAGTAATTTCCTTAATTCTTTTTATATAGGGGTGAAAGTTCGATTTGCGATTTGGATTATGGCCCAAACCGAAGTAATTCGATTTTTGATTTTCCAATCCAAATCCAAACCCAATAAGAATTCGGTCCAATCCAAACCGAATTGAATTGTCAACTTATAAACCGAATCCAATCCATAAAACGAATTTTTGGGCTTAATTTCTGTAAGTTTGCAATTTTTATTTAAACATTGTGCAATCCCTTACAAATTTCATTACAAATTTTAATCACAAATTATAAATTCACAATACCTCTAAAAATTTAATCACAAATTCAGTGTTAGTTGAATGTAAAACCGTAAAACAATAAAATAAAAGAGATTAAATAGAAAATAATTGAAATATTTGTAATCTTTGGTAGATGATATTATATGCAAAGGATTTTATCCTTGAGGTATGAACTTGAGATGAATCAACATCTAAAAGGTCTACAACCAGAAGCACTACTCGATTTCTTCGATGTATCTTGCCTATTTGCCGGCAAAGAGGATGTGGCGCTAGCGGTGTCAAGGCTTCCTTTGACTAAGTTGTGGATGAAGAACACGGAATCGAAGATAAAAATGAGGATTAAATGTTAAAGTTGTAATGAGATAAGGCTGAAAGATTATTTGAGGCTTTGAGCATAAGAGAAGGAAAGAGGAGAGGAGAGAGAAAGTAGATCTAAGAGAGGCGATTGAAAGATTTTAGGGTTTTGGGAAATTAAGGGTTCACTTTTCTAATTATATGGGATTGGGGCTAACTTAAGTTGGTGCGCTTTGGGCCTAAATTACAAATGTACACTTGTACAGGTATATCAATAGAGTATAATTCGGTTTAGTTCGGTTTGAGGACCTTAAAACCGAATCCAATCCATAATCCAAATTTTTGTATTTTTTCAAACCGAATTAAAAAAAAAATTCAAACCAAATTAATAATTCGGTTTGGATTTCGGTCGGTTCGGTTTAAATCCGAATTACTTTCACCCCTATTTTTACCATAATTCTTCCTACTTTTTCCTACCATAATTCTTGCATAAGCTAGCCTATAAATACCCCTTGAATCATAGCTAAACACTCACACCAAATTCTCTAATCTTCTCTCTTAATCTCCTAATTCTTTCCTCTCTTTCTCTTGCTTTTACACTGCCACCACCAAACACCACCTCCACCACCACCTGCCGCCAACGCCAAACCACCGCCGTCGGCTACCACCAGGTGTCGCCACCTTTCTTCCTCTTTTCCTTGGTTTTCTACTTTTTCTTCTTCTCTTAATTAATTAATTATTATTACTATGGAGGTTTTATAAAAATTATTATGAGTGTTTTTAATTAAATAAAATCAGATTTTTATTCAAGTTTATGAAAAATAATTTATAAGGTTCATGTACATATAGTTGGGAGTTTTTAATTTAATTGTTGTGATTATTTGTTAGCTATTGATTAAGTTTATATTTATTTGTAGGGTGTGTTTGACAAGAGTGATTGAAGTTCATTTTTATGCTGCTAGCAAGGATCAAAGGTACGTTTGGGTGGCTAGATACCTTTGAAATTGATTGGATTGAATAAACATGTTTTATATGATTTTTTTTTTATGATGATGATTGAATTAAATTGAATTGAATTAATGATGATTGAATTAAATTGAATTGAATTATGATTTATGAAATAAAAGTATGTTGAAGAATTGGTTTTAATAAATTAATTGAAGGATTGATTTTATATCATGTTTTGGATAACTAAATTATTTATTATGTTTTAAAAAGGTTTGAGTTTGAAAGCATGTTGAATTAAATAAAAAAAAGTTTTGAGCTTATTGAATTAAAAAGGTTGGAATTATTGAATTAAAAAGGATTTATTGAGTTATTATTATTAAAGCTTTACAAGCATGTTGATAGTAATTCCATTATGCAAATTTGGTTGATAAGACTTTGGAATTTGTATGACCGAGTCTTTCCTCAAGAATAACCTAGCAATATAAAGAGACTAGCTTGGGGAGTGTGCACACTTGGGTGAGGAATTGGATTCAAAAAGAGGAATTGGTTTATTAATTATTTTATTAAAATATTGAATTATTGGAATTGGTTTTGATTGATGAGTTTGTATTATTGGATTTATTGGAATTGATTTTAAAAGCATGTTTGCAAATAAATTGAGTTTACTTATCTTGCATTTATGGTACTTAGCATATTTTGCTAATCCGTATTTCCTATTTGTTTTGGTTCTCCCTGTTTACCTTAATGGTGAGCAGTGTTGACTATTTTCAGGTGGAGTCAGTAATTGAGCATATGGGTGTCCCAGGATATGCTTCACCTAGATCTAGGAATGTTGGTCTTTGTTTCTATTTTGAATACTCATAACATTGGTTACTATTTTCATTAATAAAGAAAGAGTTTGAGTTTCCGCTGCGAAGTTGCGATTTTTTATTAGAAGTTTGAGCAGCCTTGCGTAATCACGCGGCGGTAATACGCCTAAGTCTTTCTCTACGGTATAACTATACGTATTATACTAGTATTTCCGTAGAGGGAGATTTGGGGGTGTTACACCTTTGAACTTCAAATTTCTATTGGTTGTTTGAAATGGTTTTTCTAATGGTTTTGATTTAATTTAGAATCTTATTCTCTTTTTTAAACACATTATTAATTAAAGAATATGCATCCAATACAACTTTAGAAGAATCTAGAGCAAACAAACTTATCATTGAGATGTTAACCTTTTTTTATGTGATCCTCATTTGACTTAATTGGTTAGCTATAGGCGCATAGCACCTATTTGCTTGGATTGTAAATAGGATGGGAATTTTGTTAATAAGTTAAAGTTTGTAAGAGAAAAGTGCCAGCTGAAAAGAAATGGAAAAAATCTTGTAACCTTGTAGGCTCATGTCGTCCTTTCCTTTCCTTTTTTTTTTTTTTTTTTTTTAGCAAATTATACTGTATATGGTTGTTCTAAATTAAACTTACAAAGATATTGGCTTAAAGGGGCTTACAGCCTTACACATCTTTACCCATTCATCAAGAATATAATGTTTGTCACTTTGGTTTTTTTAATCTTAATCATGTTCAAACTTGTTCCTCACTACTGTAAAAATGGCCAAAGAGATCAATTTTAAATTTTCAACCACTCAAAGAGACCTATTTTCTTAGATAACAGGTCTCTTGTTTTTAAAAAATTAAACCGCCTCTAATGAAGCAATCTCTTTGCCAAATAGACCGCTCCTAAGGCAGTCTCTTACTCTCTTTGGCTAATTTGGACGGGTCTTTTTGGTCAATTTTGTAATAGTGTCTTGAGGCTGCTTAAGATTTAAAAAGGAGTTTAAGATTTTAGTAAGATGATGATGGTCGTCCTTATTAATTGTATTGTCATTGTTATATACCTACTTGTGTACTTTCTTTACCTTTTTTTTTTTTTTTTTTTTGGAGGAGTGTACTTTTCTTTACTTCTTCATAGCCTAATTTGAGAAACAATAAGAGTGTGATCTTTTGCAACAATCACAGTGTCTTTGAAGATGACAACATTTTCCATTAATTGATTATTCAAAGAAAATCAAAATATTTCGCTCAAATGATTCAAATTTAAGAGCTCATATAGTTTTTTGTCAAGAAAGAAAGCTATATACTCTTAATGTATTGTTTTTCGAATTACTGTAATGGAGAAAATAATACAATTGACTATGGAATAGTGGAATACCAAACAACTTGTTTCAAGGAGAGGGGGAAAAGAAAGAAAACATGTTACTGTTTATTGTCCAATTCGAATCATGTTCTAATCAAATCATAGTAAAGGTTGATCGGATTAACCCTGGCCTATTCCAATGCAATTTGCATTGATAGATTTGTATGGTAAATAGATAGAGTTATGACAAAAAGGTTGGATGATTTGATCAATTTAGAGGATTGAATCCATGAATCCATTAATTTGGTCATTTGATATAGAGCTAGGGCGTGTAGTGGAGTACATAAGCAAAGGGTACATGATCATGTATGCCATATCATAAATAATAGTACTAGGTCATATGATGTATTAGGATAATTTTGTGTTAATACCCTAATTTTGTTAAGTTAGTGATTATCCCGGGAAAGCTAGGTTTGTAAAGTTGTATTATAAACAAAAATTGCAATTTATTCCAATTGTTTCTCTCTAGTTTATCATAAGCCAAATGAACACTTCATCTGAAAGTTACTAATATTACTACATACTTCGTAGAAGTTAATCCTGGTAATTACCAAGCCAATTTATTAGCCCATACTTTTATCATTTTATTATGAGAAGGTATTGGGTGCGGCAAGCCGCACCACACAATTCGTGCGTCAAGTATATATATGATATGCAGTATTTGATATAGGATATGTATTATTTGATAGAGGATATGTACAACTTGTTAAAAGATATGTGTTATATGATAGAGGATACACACAGTTTGTTATAGGATATATATTGTTTGTTATAGGATATGTAGTATTTGATAGAGGATATGAACAATTTATCTTTGATAGAGGATACGTACAGTTTGTTAGAGAGTATGATGTAGCATTTGGTGGAGGATATGGGTTAGTTGATAGAGGATACGTAGAATTTATTAAAGGATATGTAGTATTTGATGGACGATATGTAGTATTTGATAGAGGATATGTACAATTTGTTAGAGGATATGTGTTACTTAATAGAGAATACGTAAAGTTTGTTGGAGGATATATATTATTTGATAGAGTATATGAACAATATGTTGGTTTATCAGTTGCTTTTGTTTGTTGATTTCATCCTTTTGTTGGCTGATATGCTTCATTTGTTGGCTGATATGTTCAATCTGTTAGCTGATATCTATCTTTTGTTGGCTGATATGCTTCATTTGTTAGCTGATATATGTTCCTTTTGTTGGCTAATATACATAATACCACATCCTGTTATAAAGAATATCATCCAACTTATAGAGGATATCATCCAACTTATAGATGATATCATCCTACTTATTATAGATGATATAATCTAGACAACAAAATTTATTTTGTAAAAAATAAATAAAAGGTCAACAATGGCAGAACCACCATTGAAGGTCCTGTACTAAGCTCGTGGGTATAACATAACATGCTCATTTTTCAATCAAAATACATGCATTTGTTATCAAAACGCTCACAATTCAACATACAATCACATAGGACAATCAATTTCAACAATTATACATCACACAAGAAAGCCTCAAATTGATTTTTTTTTGGGCATTTTTCGAAATATCCGAGAATCTCAAGCAATTATCAAGCCAATTCAAGCATAAATCATGGACAAATATAATCAACAATCAACGAGTTTCTCGTCGTCGACAATACCACTGCCAATAACAACGTCGCCGATGGGAGTGATCATTGGTATAAAGCAAAAACCCGCTGGACTAACAAAACATTTAATTAGGCTGAAATGACGCAATAATTTGTGTTTTATTATATGTTTAACAGTTTAAGTAACAATAAAACAACTACAAGCTACAAGTATAAGCCAATTTTACCAACACACTTTTATAAAATTCTGTAATACATTTAGGTAGTCAACATTTTAATGTAACTAGTTAATTAAATCAGCACCTAGCAACTAGATACCCACTAATTACCATACATATCTAAATAGAGTAAATCAGGTTCCATTTATTCCTTTTAGCTCCCTAACTCTTATATGGAATAAACTAGTTTTTTGTATTACAAAAAAAAAAAAAAAAAAAAGAGATAGCTAGTTTATTACATCCATATAAGTAAGACATTCTTTGTGTAAAGAGAATCAAACTTTAGTCCTTCAAACTAGCTTATGCACGGATTTATCAAATTTTATTAAAGTTTGTATTTCAACAATTTCTTATAAATTTTCTCTCTTTATAAATAATATGACAAAGGTCAATATTCTTTAAAAAAAAAATCTTCGTAATACACTTTAATGTTGTATATACCTGTATAAAATATATATATACTCCGTACAAATTTATACTATATTAAAATTTATGCATATCTTTTTTAATAATAATATTTTGCGTGCTTAAATTTTCTATAAGTTGTTACAAAATTGTTTTATTGAATTTGGGAAGATTACCTTATATAAAATATATGGAAGATTTTTTTTATATATATATATTGGTAAAGTAGGAAAATATTATACAAGTAGTGAATAAAAATTTCCTAAGATAATTTGACAAAAAAGTAAATAAAAAATTAGCGGGAAATTATTTAACCAGATTTTGCCACGTGTCATTTTTTATTCGCCTTTAGTATATAGTTATTGATTGACTAGTTAGAATGCACGCAAATAATAAACACTCCCTCTGTCCAACATTATACTTCCTATTTTTCTATTTTGGACACCTAAAATGTTATTTTTGTTTCTATAATTAGATATAACATGTAAAGACCCATATACCCTCATTTTTTTTAACTTCATTCATTGAACTTCCTAAATTACCCTTGAATTTTCCACTGACCTTGTACTTTTTTCACTTTCTTTCTCTAACTTTTGTCTATACTTGTACTTTATTTTTCATTTTTAAAAAATGTATTTCATCTACTTCCTCCTCCCATTTCTCAAATACCGTAAAAAAAAAACGCAAATAAAAACTGGGACAAGGGGAGTACTAAAGTTTTTGTGTAGTAATAGTTAAATTGAGGGTTTGTTTACTATACATCACATGATCAAATTTTCTAAACCTCTATTATATAAGAGTACACGTACTTCGTTATTTGTTTTGTAATTGTGGTTGATTGAGAATCTAAAAAAAAAAAGAAAAGAAAAAAGAAAAAAAGATGGCATGTAAACCGTTCATGTATGTATCATGAAACACGTTGACTTTATATTACTATAGAAGAAATGATTAAAGATTATAAAGTAATTATTCCATTAGTTCGTAAAATTAACACCTCATGCCGGCCCAAAAAGAAAGTTAAACAATAAACAATGCAAAAACCTCTAAACGCGCGACACGTGAATGCGTAAACGAAAGGTTGTTAAAAATGGGGAGTGGGACATAATTGAACACTTGTCCAAAATATCTGGCTCTAAATTTCTAATTTAAGTTTTGCAAAGTTTTTTCCACTCAGATATTTATCAGCTTCTCCACGTACTACATGTCTTCGTCTTACTTAAGGTTCTATTCATTTGAACTTATTTTCTGTTCAATTCAGTTATTGGTCTAGTTCATTTAAAAAAAATAAGGTTTAAGAATGACTTATATACCCTCTATTTTATTACTTGCTTAACTTTTTCTGGACACATATGTCATTGTAAATTTTTAATCAATACTATCTCCGTGTTTTAATAAGTGTTACACTTACCAAATGCGACCGTGTTTAAATAAGTGTTACACTTTCTTTTTTGGCAAAAAGCTACATTTTAATATTATATCTCTCTCATCTCATGATCCCCACCTAAACCCA